GATGGACGAGCTGACGTTCAAATCCTAGATTTTTTACTGTGTGACGTATGCGACGGCCGTCAGGCATGCATTTCCATTTCAAAATTTCCCTAGCAGATTTGATTTGTCAATTTCCATACAGTTGGTGCAAAAAATTTGCGTGGCCTGAGCCAGTTTTCCAATAGTAATACGCAAAAGTTCTATGTGATCTATGGTTAAAAATATAGCTACGAAAGTTCTATTTCAGATATCCTTTAACGTTATAACCTCGCTAAAGAAACCGTATGCAAGGTCGGTAATTTGGTATCTGATGGAAAGATAATATTCTGTGTGAAAGGCTTTGGAAAAAGTAAATGAACGTACGAGTATATATTGCGATTATGTATACGATATGTACTTGTACACCTTTGTGCAAGCTAGAAAATTAACACTCGACTGAACAGAGTTACGGCACCTCCCCCAGGGGTGCGATTCTTCAAGCGCTACAGATTTGTCGATAACTACACCTATTTAGGTACATATATTTATTAGTTTCGTCTCAAAGAGATCACATTCAAGTAATAAGACTACCAAATTATACCGTTCTAATTTTGTTTCTCTTTTATTTGTCACTTTAGTGTGATGTGCACAGTTGTAACCTAACTTGCTGATCTTGTACTTTTTGTTTGCGTAGAATAAATTAACAGGTACTTCTCCTAATGTAGAGCCTAGTAGGTAAATTTTATAATTTTTAATAACTATTTCATGAACTTCAGACACCCATGCAAACTTTTATACCTCGTTTCACCCCCTTCAAAATGTGACAAGTGCTCAAGTTTTTATCAAAAGTTCAAACATAATAATATTCGTATACGTCATATCGTAGATACCTACATATACTACTCGTACTGAGTCCCTTTCGCATTTATAAAATCTATTGGTAAATAAAAATACTGTTCAGATCATAGTTCTATGAGATCTGAGGTTCTACACGTACTAGAGAACACAAAATACCCAAGAACATAGATTACTAATAGGCATAATTAAACAGAGGACTTGGCTAGATAGAGTAAGTTTTGCTGAACTGAAGAAAGTTACAGGACAAATTAAGTTTGTAGACCTTTACGTGGTCAGACTAGAGTCTACACAATGTTTCGGTCAACTTGGCTTACGGTTGACTTGTAACCACACTAATTGGTTGTGTGCCGATGTCACATGCCCACTAAACTCGTAAATTACAACCTACCACTTGTAATATTATATGATATATGTACATACCCGTTTTCACTATCAATCCCTAATCTTTAGATGACCCCTATGGTACTTACATAACAGGAATTTGGTTTTCATAAAATTAGGGATTGATGGCGAAAACGCCCGTTTTCCTAATACCCATTAGGTGCAGTAAAAGTTTTTTTATACGTAAATAAGTAAAGTTTGTGTAATGTTAATAAATCAAGGTTACTTGTAATTTTTCATAAATGTCTCATATATCGCCTATCGCTCCAAGCTAACTAAATATTAAGTTGTAACTTAATAAACATATAACGTCATGTATGACGTTATAAGTTTATGATATTAAAAAATTGGTTTACCGTCTTCCGTCTAGTCCGCAATAATCCAGCGGTCTATGGGGTTCAAACATTGAACTAGAGTTCCTCGAATCTCGAATCGGCAGTCCGAATATACAACTATAAAATGCAATAGTACCTACTGTTTTCTGTCCCATTTAATGTTCCTAGTGATCCCTTCCCTTTACACTTTTATTGAGGCTATTAGAGAACATGTCAAAAAATAGTACTTATTCCGAATTGTGTAGTTCGGAAAAATCACAATTTGTCAAAAAATAGTACTTATTCCGAATTGTGTAGTTCGGAAAAATCACAATACCGCAAGGTAATTTTCATCGGAAAAGTTCAATTTCAAAGCTCAGTGACTCCAGTCGTGCATGAAATATTTATGAGTTTACTCACGGCAATAAGTCTGTCATATTCATGAATATATTAATATGCGTGTGTTTGACTTCATCTTAATCAAGAAATTAATTTTAGTCAAAGCATAAGACCTTGGTAGGATCCATAACGGTGGCTTTCCTTTTCACAGACAAATTCAAGAGTTTTAGTACTTAACTAAATTAGGCCTAATGGCTTAACTAAATTAGAATACGAATATTTATAAAGTGTCTGGAATCACACTCACGCTTTAATAAAATAAGCTGGGCTGCTAAACAAGCGTAATAACAAAATACCTTTTTTTACAAGACTATCGTTTATACACGTAATGAACCAAAATGAGATCTTAAAATAATCAATTTTAATTAAACACATATATTGCTCATACTTTTGTGTTACCAACAAAATCGGTAAAGAGATTAAAGTTAACCTTACTTTCTTTTCAAATCTTCTACCAAAAGCGCTTTAAAGTTGAGCTACTTACTTTTAAATGTCATCTACAAGTAGCTTGCGGTAAATAGGAATATGAATCATACTCCAAAGAACATGAATACAGTTTTGCATAAACCTTAAAGAGATTGGCACACCCGAATGCACCCTCGGGCGGAGCTCTTATCCCACATAAACAATCCGCAAATGGGTACATGAAGCTGGGAAGATAATTCCCCGATACATACGATGATAAAATACCACGTTGATAAGTGGGAAAATGAAATTCAAACTCGCCATACATTTCGACGGCTTCGAGTGCTCGTTCAACTTATTAAAAATATGATACAGGGGTTACAAAACAATGTTGATGATTAATTAGGAACGGATGAAGTTACCATGAATGTTAAACTTTTATTTTCGTGAGCTATCTATCAACTGTATAAATAACTAAACTGTAAAATAACATGGTGGATGAATCATGAATCGACCACAGGTGGAAGGGCCTGGGGCCTAAACTACTGCAAAATTATAACTAATAGGTACAAACTTTACTTAATTAGGTTTGACGACCACGCTACAACCATACTATAACACATAATAAACAAAATCGTTTACTTTAGACCATATTTTACTTAATCCTAGCCATATATTCTACACTCAAACTAAAGGGTAATTCCGGACAAAGTTTTCAAACGAAAAGGGTGATCCTACTACTAAAATACCCCCACTTTTCTTTCAGAGTACCTAAGTATGGAAAAGTTTTCTTCGGTCCCCTAGGGAGTTGTTGTATTTGAGTAGAAAAATATATCCTTTCGTTTGAGCGTACCTATTCAAAATCATATATCTTTCTGCACACGTTTGAAAAGTTAAAATTTCCTTTTACTGCGTGCCTATCAAGTGATCTTCGCTTTTATTTAAGAAAGCCTCTGATTTAAATTAAAACAAATCAAGTGAAAAATTAAAGCCAAAAATTCGGTAGTATGCTTGTCTATAAGTTTATTGAAAGGCTCTTTCTGCAAAATCTGCCAATTCGCTGGAAAATTCGGGAAAAATTTTACACTTTTCGCAAATGATGGAAAATTCTTGGAATGATGTATTTTCGGAGCTTGGAAATCGTAAAAACCGTTGCGAATTTATCGACAGGTAATTTCCCTGATTCCTTGCATACTAATAAAATATTAAATAAATTTTATTATTTAATATTTTATTAGTTTGCAATATTTCTACAATACAGGATAGACTGTCCTGGCGCCTCAGAACAAGGAGAGCCGCCCTAAATAATGGGAAAAGGGCTAGGAAAAGAAAAAGGAGAAATTATATCGATGAAAAGGTTACCACACAACCCTCTTGTCATGTGTGTTGTTAAATAGACTCGATTTTTGCGCATACGTAGGATGTACTCGATTGATGTCGCGTAGGCGAAACTGCGTTGCAGAGTCAACATCATTTATGTGACGGGAAAATGCTGACACATCACCAGCAATTTATTCCCCAACAATTAGACATTGTCGGGTGTTCGGAGCAACGTTACAATACGGCAAATTTGTTGATTGCGCTTTTACTTGTATTGTATCATTTTCATTAATTAACGGTATTATTATATTATCGTTGCCACAGGGAAAAACCATGTGTTAATTCGTTACACTTCAGATTTTTCTCCTGACAAATAAAAATGTACCTACTTAAGTATTCACGTTTGTGGCGAACTTATTTTTCTTTTCATATTAAAAATGTGGCGAAATTGTCGTGATTACAAACAGTTGAGGAAACCAAAAGATATCAAAAGGAAATACCTACAAGATCATCGACTTCGAGTGAAAATGACAATAATCCAATTAACTTAATAATTTTTGCATCATTTATTTTTGAAAAATGCATCAATAAAGTTACGAGTAATGTGCATCTAACGAAAACTTTTAAGGTACCTAACTACTGCAGTCAAAAGTGATAAACAGCAACGATATGCAGTGCAAGCCTATCAACACCCAATAATTGCCTACACTCCAGACCAGTTAATTACCTTGCTCCTATACCATTATCCTGTCCCGACAACGCCGGAATGAAGCACACTCAATAACGCTATCACGGGTTTTGCAAACTAGTTTTAGCATGGATAAATGTTTTGAAAAAGAGCTCTTTCATTAATTGTTTCATGGATACAAGTAAGTAGTAATAACTGACGTAGATCTAACGCTGTCCAGTTACAATACTACAGTATAAGATTTTCTTTGAGACTCGATTTCCTTTTAAGTCGTTATTAGGCACACATTCAAATTGATTGCTTTTAGATTATCTGTTGAAGGGTAGACAAAAAGCACCCAATTTCTGTATTAATTTAGTGTGCCGAAAGTTTGTTTTGTTTCCAGAACAAAGTTTTATCGCCAATGAACTGCCATCAAAATATGCAAATCAGAGTCCATAGTGCCCTTACACTCTGCGTCTCAATATTCTATTATTACCTATATTAATTTAGGCAGAACTAAGTAAACTTTGATTGGTACGGTTTATACCAAATTGAATAAATATAATTTGAGCACCTACGCGTTTACCATTTACTTTAGCTACCTAACTTTATGACCTCGTAAGCATTGTTTTTCGTAAAATAAATTTCCATAAAAGTACCTAATATTTTATTGAAACGCACAATTTCCATTGTTTCAGATGCGACGATCATTGGTTCCTGTTCTACTATTGACAACAGTAGCACTGTCGTCAAGCAACGTACTTCCATTGGTGTCCATAAATAAAATAGATGCCGAACAACTTGGCTTGGGGAGCCGACAAGATGACAATATATTTAGTTTTAGAAATCACCCTAGAAATATTCTGAATGATATATTTTATACAGTATCAATCGCTACGTCGCAGAATGGCAAACAAAATAAAGTTCAAAAGCTACCACAACTGCAGTATGTTGACAATAATCAGATGAATGACGAGCCAATCAAATCGAATAAAAAAGACAAGTATAATGGAGAAGGATACCGGAAAGAACAATGGCATAACTATCCCCGTCAGTTAGATCGCCTACACAAGTATCTTTACGAACATCATAATGCGGATAAGAGAAATCCTGACCCTGACGATCCCAACGCAACTGAAGATTATGCTGACGGACCTGTGCAAGAAAACTCGAATGAAGTAAAAGCCAACGAATTGCAAACCATCTCTAACGACGACTTAAAAAATGAATACGACGCAGTAGTAGCTGTTGCTAACCCCTTTTTAATTTTTAAAATTCGATTAGCATGTTTGAATAGTAACTTAAAAGATAATAATGTTAATAAATACTCTGAAATAGCGGCATCAGACCCAGAGTACATACCGGGAAACAGAGATGAAGAAAACTACATAGAGAATGAAATCAACCCCCAGAACAGCGTAACTAAAGTAAAACGAGAAGAGATGGCTCCACAAATCACACAAGTCTCAGGTAAGTAGGTACCTAAGTCTGGGTCTGGTAAAATTAAATTAAATTAAAATCTGGTAAATTCATATTCTTAGGGCTTCACGGTTTTTTGCACAGGATCCCGTTTAGTAGTATAGATACGGGTTTAAATATAATGTTCACATGAACATCCCGTTTGAAGTGCCCCGCAAAAAAGGGATCTGTTTCTTACGGGACACTGCAAACGGGAATTCTTCGAATTTGTAGTTCGAATTTCTAACAACTTATGACATTTTACATGTGTGTTCAGTGGGGTAATTCAAATGCATTTGTCGAGAGTAGAAATCGTCTGTCAAATAATTTTCTAGTAATCAATTTTGAACTGATTGTCAAGGTAATACAGTTGAAAATTGAATATCAAAGCCAAGACGACGCCTAATGTCATTCAGCCGATGGTAGATGCCAAATTTCCAATATCGCGTACGAAGACGGAGAACTTTGTCAATATAGTGGTACATAAGGGTCATAATTAGTGGATGCCGACGATTTTCGCGCTGTCATCTCAACGACTGCCCACCCTTGTCGTTAGAGCAGCAGATTGCTGTGAGAACAAGCCCTTACAATGTTTTTTATTTCATTTTCTAGAAAGCAACATGACCAAGAACCGTGCTGTAAAGAAGAGGATATTCTCCCTGTGGAGTCGACTCCAGAGCTTCAACCACAAAGGCCACGAGTTGCAACACAGACGACACCTCCATGCGTTCTACGGGCTACCAGACGGTGGTGACACCGGGGGAGTGCTGACTGCAGAGACCCGGGCCACCTTCTTGAGACCACCAGGTTCACCGTTACGGTGGGGCTAGGTCTAAGCCCGGCTGTTTTTTTTTAATATTTATTTACCATATTATGTGACGACATGGATGAAACACAGTCATCAATTTGGGCGACGATTTAGTCTATCGGCTTTTTTTTAGAATTTAGGTCTTTTGTAACTTCATCTGTTCCGGTGTAAGTAGGTACTTACGTTTTGGGGCAACGAAATTTTCACGTTTAATCTGAAACCATATTTTTAGAGTTCAACATCATGGTCATCATTTAATAAATTATGATTATTACTGGCAACCAAAAATACAATTTACCTAACTCTAAAGTTACAATAAAAATTTGAGAGAGAATTTTTATGAGCAATTTGATGATTGTGTTTTCATGTATGAAAATGATTTGTTGAGTCATGACCACGCCAGTAATTGCATGCGAAAAAGTAATAATGTCAGAACTGATAAGGTTTTAAAATAAAGACGTACAAGTAATAGATAAATCCAGCAAGACCACAAATTAAGGTTGTAACAGAACTACGGGTTTTCGTCAATGATAAATGGAGGCTCTATGCGATTTGTATGGTGTGGTTGTCTATACCGTAAAGTATTAGTGATTGACGAAGCTGAATAGTACAATAAAATGACCAAACATCAAATCGTCTATAATTTAGATGCGTGTTTACTTAGTAGTTCGACGATAATTTTATTGAATGTTTTTACATTACTAAATTGGTAATAGATATTTGCTCTAATATTATACGCAATACTATGATATATTAGACATAAGTACTGACTGTCGCAATACTTACATTAATGTGCGTATAAATATTGATGCTTGAAGTATTTATTATGTAAGAAGTAATGAAAATCCATAGAGATTAATAATACTTCCACGCCTATTGTGTCTATAACGTTTCCTAGTGAAATATTCTAACCCTCATAGCGATAATAATAAAGTTGCGTAAGAGTATATTGCCATCGTACTTATATGTAAATAAATACCATGTATATCAGCGACACTGTTTTATTTTATACCTATAATAGAGGCAAATGAAGAAAATTAATCTTTAAGGAACCAATTATGTTGAATATCAGAAACAAGTAGGTACTACATCTGCAAAGTTCAAGAAAATCTAAAATAAACTAGTAAGTGAATCTAAAACCATGATTGCAAAACAAACAACCGGTACCGTACAAAATTAGCAGCAGACATTTGCATAAAATCAACAATATTGAGTACACTAACGCCATCTTTTGGAACTACCTTTACTGATTCCGATATAATCTGTGTACAAACGTCAAGTACACGCATACTTGACTAATGAAGCTGAACAATCTAATTAAAACGAACTGACCTTATAAATAAATCAAAGAAAAATACCTTATGAACCAGTTAAAATGTTATTTTACAATTTTATTTCAAATCAAAATTTGACATTTATACAGGCAGAAGCCTATTAAAGTCTGTGGCGAACAGCTGAGAACTCGTATGACAGCTAACCTTAACCTTGGAACTGATAAGTTTATTGTTTCTTTTATCATAAAAACACTCTGGTTAGTGGAATAAACACAACAATATGGCGGTGAGCGCATTTTCTTATCAATAATTTAGTTGCTTAGCATTAAATTAATATTACCTACTCCACAAAACAAATGCGTGTAGAAACTGAGATGCAAGTTAGTAGTCATTTGTTTACCTACTTTTGATTTAAGAACAGACTCTAAACCTGATTTGATACGTTGTGTTGAGATGTAAATATTTATATTTTTTTTTACAAACAATTACAAAACATTGCATTGAAAGCTAAAAACATTCGTAAATAGGATAGGAGTCCTAGTAGTTTCCAATAAAATATGAGTTTTCAAATAAAATCAATTAAAAGGAGAATGTACCTTTCTAAATTTTGGACCTAAAGACTATTTTTCTAGTCGCAGAAAACTCTACAATAAGGAAAAGACCTGACTTGAAACTAATTGTACATTGTTTACTTTTATACAAAACAAAACGAAATTAATAGCACAGATATTTAAAAGTAGTAAGTAATCCTCACACACGATGAAGATTATATATCCTCACACACGATGAACAAATAAGAAAAATCTAAAAGAAAAAAGTAATATTAAAATTAAAATAAAAGGTGATCTTTGCTCAAACCCAAAACGAGTCGCTGACCACTTTAATGAATTCTTTGCATCCATGGGCGAACTTTCGACCCCAAAAAATCCACCAGGTGGCAGCACCAACTCTAGCCAACCCGTCTTTAACTATCACGTTATGAATCCCACGGAAAACACAATGTTCCTAAGTTCGGTAAGCTCTCGCGAGATCAATAAAATCATTAAATCTTTAAAGAATAAACATAGCCACGGAATAGATGAAATACCACCTAATCTATTCAAAGAGTGTGCAGACGAGTTAACCTTACCACTGACACTATTGATTAACCAATCATTTACTGAAGGTACTTTCCCATCATTACTTAAAAAAACAATTATCAAACCAATTTACAAAAAAAATGAAAAAACAAATCCGTCAAATTACCGTCCAATAGCCCTTTTGCCCNACCTATAATATTATTGATTTATTTATTTAATCTTTAATTGTGGTCAAATACCTGCCTTGTTATGCATAAAAAAAATGCCATACAAATTGGTAAGTATATCGGGCGAACTTGATGGCACAATGATGCAATATGATAAAAATTATTGATTTAAAACTGCCTAGCTGACACTGATAGACATTCATATGTGCGAACCTGCGAGCAGAACGCAGTTTAATAGAGTCCTCGTCAATAAAAACTGTAATTTTTTATAGGTAAGTTAAAAATTGACTCAAATACAAATTGAAGTTATTACACAAATTAAATTACCAATTTAACGTTTAATTCTCTTTGCCATCAAAGATAAGTTTACATAAATCACTAATCCAGGTGGTGTCTACGCTTTATTATTTCCCACGTTTCTAAAAACTTAGGTTACGGTTCCGAATTGTAACTTTTCATAGAAACAATAAACATCATTTGACTCTCCCAAAAGGAAATTTATCGAAGCAATAAAACATTAACGACCTCCCCAAGATCATGGAGGAGCCGTGCGTTCTGTTTGCAGATTATATTTCTNGTGCAGACGAGTTAACCTTGCCACTGACACTATTGATTAACCAATCATTTACTGAAGGTACTTTCCCATCATTACTTAAAAAAACAATTATCAAACCAATTTACAAAAAAAATGAAAAAACCAATCCTTCAAATTACTGTCCAATAGCCCTTATGCCCACATGCTCAAAAATATTTGAAAAAGCGATCTGTGATAGAGTTACAAAATTTTGCGAAAAATACGATATATTTGACAATAGCCAAAACGGTTTCCGCCACAGTTTCCGCAAAAACCGCTCTACAACACTGGCAGTGTATAAATATACCCAAGAAATAGTCAAAACCTTAGATGCAAAACAATATGGCGTCGGAATCCTACTCGATATGACCAAAGCGTATGACCGAGTACAACATAATATACTACTATCTAAACTATACGAAATTGGCATTCGCGGTTCAGCACACTCATGGTTCAAGTCATATCTAAAGGATAGGGAACAGTAGGTATGTCGAAATAGAACAGTTTGATAATGAAACCCAAAAAATTTTACAAGTCCGATCTGATAAAAAAACAGTTAATAATGCATCAATACCGCAAGGCAGTGTAGTAGGGTGTCTCTTATTTTTGATATACATATAACGACCTCCCCAAGATCATGGAGGAGCCGTGTGTTCTGTTTGCAGATGATATTTCTCTATTAACGACTTGCCGAAATAACATTAATATAAAAGATAAATTAGATAAATTATTTAATAAAATATCAAATTGGATGAGAGCACATAATCTAGAAATCAATTTTGAAAAAACGAAACTAATGACCTTTAACCCACATCAAAAGACACCACTTACTCTTAACTATAATTTTAATAACATTAATATGGAACAAGTAAAAGATTTTAGTCTACTCGGTTTAACTATAGATACAAAGCATTGGAAGATACACATACAAAAAATTAGTAAGTCCAAATTATCAAGCTTCGCGTTCGCTCTCCGAGAGGTTGAGAAGACAACAGATTTAGAGACTGCACTTGTAACTTATTACGCATACGGTTAGTGCCTTTNACACCACTTACTCTAAACTATAATTTTAATAACATTAATATGGAACAAGTGAAAGATTTTAGTCTACTCGGTTTAACTATAGATACACATTTGCATTGGAAGACACACATACAAAAAATTAAGTCCAAATTATCAAGCTTCGCGTACGCTCTCCGAGAGGTTAAGAAGACAACAGATTTAGAAACTGCACTTGTAACTTATTACGCATACGGTTACGCTTGGCTAAGTTACGGGGTTATTTTATGGGGAAATAGCACAGATGTTCAATCGTTATTTATAAAGCAAAAAAAACTAATCCGTATATTAGCAAATATCAAGCCCAAAGACAGTTGTAAACCTTATTTTCAAAAGTACAAAATTCTACCCTTGCCTTGTATCTACATTTTAAATATTTGTAAATTTGTCCGCTCCCACTTTGAGTTTTTTACCAAACGCGAAGAATCATGTCCACAATATAATTTGAGAAATAAAAATAAATTAAAAATACCAACCATCCGCCTAAATTTATCTTCTTCAAGCACATACAATATGGCCATAAAAATATATAACAAATTGCCCGATCATTTATTAAAAGAAAATAATAATAGTAAATTCATAACAGGACTAAAAAAGCTACTAACTACGANGTAATTTTATCAATTAACTTGAAATTGGCAGAACAAATGGCATTTGATTGAAGACTTGGTTTGGAAATTTAGTTTAGTTAGAGAACCTGTAGTTATAATAAGTACAGTCAGCGTCAAATACATAGTTCGTGACACACAAAGTTGCCAGAAAGTTGACAAAACAACCTTATTCCAATGGGAAAGTTTCGTAATGTTAGATTTCACTGAATGGGATTAAAATATAGACCAAAACTAAAAAGCTAGTGAAGTTATTTTTGAAATCCATCAAGAAATGGCTGAGAAATTAATTATTTAAATTACCTCAATATTTTCACGTGGAACTTAAAAATAGGCGGTGCCGTGATTACATGCCACCTGTTCAAGTTTCAATCACAATGCTTACCACCCTAAACGCATTGTCGAGAATGACACTATAATGTCAAAGTCTTCTTTTTCTTTTTAAATATGGTCAGGTCTTGGATATGTTAAAAAAGGTTACGCAAAAAATAAGTAAAAACTAAGAAATAATCTTGAGTGACCCTGGCTGAAAAATTAAACACTTCTAGATTAAAAAAAAATCGATCTGTCAACAGCACTGGACCAGCCCCCCTAGACAAAACGCACTTTTTGATCGAATCGAAAATCGAATCCGTCAAAACTCCATACAAAAAATGGGCATTTCGACCACTTTTCGAGTGGTTTGCGATTATAATTTGCACTTTGTCTATACCCACAGGGGTGATTTACTGTTTGTACTTCGAATGACTGCCGTAACTGCTTCGAATCAAAATGGCGCGAATTTTCTTTAGCACAACTTTACGGCCCTGTAACTTTTGTATTTGTAGAGATATTTTCATGATTTTTTCACAAATATTATTAGTTATACTTATATTTTCAAGTTTTATTAAAAGAAAGAAATTGGAAACTTGTCCATTGTAACAAAGACGTGTTGCGAACTTTTTGACTACTTGGGTGTCACGAACTATTTGACGCTGACTGTACTAAAGAAGTTCTGCAACTTTTTGCATAATTATGCAAATTGTTCTATTCTTAGATTCTATTACATCTCAGTTACTATGTAATATGCGTCATACAATCACGATTTCTTCGTTCCATGAACTCTATTTTCGACATTGTTATTATTTATTAACTGATTTACATCGACTATAA